AACAATTAAGAAAGGAGAAGGTAGAAATGAGAAACAGAATAAAAAACAAAAGCAGAAATAGAAGTACAAAAATCAAGGGAAGGGAAAGAGAGGAAGAAGAAGACAGAATAAAAAATTACAATAAAAGGAAAAATAAACAAAAACCCAATGCAGTTGTTCAGCCCAGAGAGGAGCTAACTCTGGGGGCTCCTGTCAGCCCAGGCACTCATGAGAATGATGGAGGGAGGGCTGTGATGGCTGAGTTCCCAGCATTAGATGGAATTCCTATAGGCCTAGGTTTATGTTCAGGGCACCCAATCCAGGAGTAGTGGTTCGTGGAGATCCTTCAGGTTGCTAGTTTCAATGTATATCAGAACCAGAGGGCAGCTAAGGGCAGGGTAATTGATTATGAAGCTTCCAGCTATTCTAATTCTTGCTAGGTGACTCTGGGGGTTCTGTAGCTCTGGACCAGAACCCACATGAATCCTGAAGTCAAAGCAGAGCAGGGACATCTGCTTCATGTTGGCTCAAACTGTGTGACTCTGAACTCGCAGAGAGCAGGGTCTGCATTGGAAGTAGATAAGGGTGGGAGCCAGCCTCACCTCAGTTATATAGCGTTAAGTGGGGAGCAACAAGGAATACCACCTTTGCAGTTGCCTATGTGAATCTGTGCCATTAGGCCACCATCTGGCTGTGTCTCCAAAGCTTAAGATAGATGCACAGCATCTGCTGGAAGTCTGCTCTCCAATCTGCCTCATTCTTTCACTGCCCCTGCTTACCTTCTCCTGCCCTTAGGTATTCAATCCACCTCTCTAACATTTCCTCTGATGCTAAGGGTTCCATGATTGTCTTCTGAGAATGTTCATTAGGTCTCTCATATCTTTTTAGTAGAGGTTCTCTGTAGTGTGTTTGCCTAGGGGGCCATCTTCACAAACATTTAAAATAAACATTTTAAATAATTAAATCTAGTATACATTATACAATATTACTCAGATATTTAAAAATATTTGTATATTAATATTGTTAGGTTGAAAGATCAAAGTTCAAGCACAGACAACATTCCTAGTAAAAGGCATTACGACAAAGTATACTAAGTATTAAATAGCAGATATGAGTGAAGTATTTCTTACTCATATTAAATATGATTTTGTTATATAATCAATATTTTTAAGTCTAAAAGTTCATATTTTAGGTTTTCTTAAACCAAAGTATCTATTTTGATAAAAGATTATCACAATAATAAATTTTAGAAAAAATATTTTATGAAGATATAGTATTTTTATAGAAATCAAATTAATTCAATTTCCCAAACAATTACTGACTGAATAGCTCTTGAACCTTTAAAATTGAAGTCCAGAATTAGGTTTAGAAATGTTGCTCACATTTTTTTTTAATTGATGAAATTAACATTTTAGGCTTATTTGCTTATTAAGATTGTCTAGATATAAAGAACCAGTAAAATTGCAACAATATCCAGCTAGATAGATATTGATGGATTTGAAAGAATTGGTTCATGTAAACATAGAGGCTGAAAAGCCCAAAGTCTGTAGATCAAGAAGTAGGACGGAAACTTGGCAAGATTTCCATTTTTACCATTTTGGAACTGGAATTTTACAAACATCTTTTCTCCTTGAGAAACCTGTGTTTGCTTGTAAGTCTTTCAACTGATTAGTTAGGTGCATCCACTTTATGGAGGACTCTTGGTATTGCACTATAGGATAAGCACTGGATCATAAGGTTGGTTTGAATCACAAGATTCAAACTCAACCAGTCATTCCTCAGAAATCCTATACAGGGTTGCTATGAGTCAGAACCGATTTGACGGTACTTAACAACAAGAATCTATTTTAAAGCTACTTGATTGCCAATGTTAATCACATCTCAATCTCATCATAACAATATCTGACCTAATGTTTGACCATAACCTAGACAAGTTCACACATGAAATTAACCCTAATACTTATCCTATTAAATATGTTTTCTTCATTTTGGATATATGTTTAACTGCCTTAACTCGTCTGACATAAGATCAGATTGCCTGCCTCTGAAGAGAAGGCTAAGGAGAAAAGCAAACACATAATCAGGATCTCTAACTGGTGGTATAGAAGAAACAACTTAGAAGCTTTGCTCAACAATGCCTTTATTCATTCAGTGGATAACGTTTTTTATTCTAGGACATTGTGTTAGAAATTATGAGAGGAAGAATAAAAAATAAGTAAGGTATTATGTCTTGCCTAATATGTCTTATAGTCTAACAGCAGGTTATATGTATGCATGGGATCAGGACAATATAAATGATGCAAATTGGTGTGAGTCCCAGTAAGATCATTTCCAACTTGAGTCAGAAAAGAGTACCAGGCCAGCCCATTGTGTTAGGATGGGGGGGGGGGTACTGAGACAGGGGCAGCACAAGGTAGGTACCATGTGCAGCATATAGGTTGACCTGGTGAGGATCATTATTTCTGAAATCGCAGATTGGTGTGTCTGACTGACAAGTATGAAACTGTGTTAATCGCAAGGGTTGAATCTTTGACATCAAGGTTGCCCTAAAAAGTGTAGTTGGTGCGTGATTCCTATAGGTTCAGGGACAGGGGATGTGTGTAGTGTGCCACGGATGAGTTAATTCACCTTCACTGGGTTTGCTCTTCTGGTTGCCTGTTAGAAACATCATAGCTGTTAGTGTTGAAATCTTGCTGTACTTTTTCCTATGCTAGAATATATTTTACAAATAAGTTTGTATTGCGATTCTTATTCTTCTAATGTCAGAAAGAAAGTCACGTTGACACAAGTAGTTATTTTAGATACAGCTAGTCGAGTACACTAACAGAGTCCACCTGCTAACCTAAGCAGTATCATTTTGGCAAACGACAACTAGATAGCAGTGTGCGTGCTGATCACAGTGTCATTCTGACTTAACCATGGATAGATATTCTGACTTAACCATGGATAGATATGCTTAGGGGACAATTCCGTTTATTCAGCCACAAGAAGCTACCTTTATGGCTCTAAAAATACCCAGGAGGACTAAAAATACCCAGGAGGACTAAACTTGGTGCCAAGAAAAATGATTAACTTCTTTTAAATTAAACTACATTCTTTTAAAAACCATATGTACTAGTGTGAGAGCAGTTTTCATCCCATGAATGTGTGCCTATTCCTAAGTTTCTAGACCCACTGCCATCCAGTCAGTTCTCCTGGCAACACTGTTAGACAGAGTGGAACTTCTCGTAGTGTTTCCAAGGCCGTAAATCTTTTAGGGAAGCAGACTGTCACATCTTTCTTCTACAGAGTGGTTGGTGGGCTTGAGCTACCAATCTTTTAGTTAGCAGCCCACTGTGCTACCAGAACTCCTTAAGTTTTAAAATCCATATAGCTATTCTTAGGCTGGGGGTAGGGTGCTAAGGGGAATCCTATATGTGGTAGCCTTTAAAATGTAGTACTTTTTAGTAGAACCCCACTTACTTGGTGTCAGCCAATTTGTTTCTCCATTTTGAACATTTTCCATTTTGATCAGGAACGAAAGGTTTCGGGAACGATGCCATCCCCTTGGTGCTCATGCCCTAGGTTTAACTTAATGCCACTTTTCTTCTCAGACCTTGTTTCTACTTAAGGAAAAACCTCGTCCTGCTCATCACCATCTCAGAGGATATACTTGTACTCTCTCTTCTCGGCGCTCTGTACTACCACACTGCTGTAATCCTTCTAAAACCTCTGTTGGCCACGTTGTTTCTGCTTCTGTGTCTATCTAATGTATTTCCACTTCTGGTCTTTACTGAACCACATGGCTGCTGTTTCTAATGTGGTAGGCACAAGTGCAAGAAACCAAGTCAAATTCTCTTGAAACCTAGTCACATGCTGAACCAGGAATGAGAGAATCAAGGAAGGGAATGTCAACTAGACTGTTAATGATTATTATGAAGATCACATAATCAATTCAAGTCATCTTGGCTGTATAGATGTTGTATCATTTTATTTGTTTATGTTTTAATAAGGATATTTAGTAGCATACTGGGTGACTACTTGAACTGCTAACCACAAGGTCAGCAGGTTGAATCTATTAACTGATCTGTGGGAGAGAGATGAGACTTTACGTTCCCATAAAGATTTACAGCCTCGGAAACCCTATATGGGGTCACTATAAGTTGGAATTGACTCCACAGCACATAACTACCACCATATATATTTTAATGCTAGTTTAAAGCAATCATACTGAAGGATAAGATATTCCACGTATTTCTCACAGAATTATGTAAAATTAGCACATCTAATTCTGAATAGATCTGTGATCATGTTTTTATTAAGCTTAATCTAAATAGATAGCATAATGACAGATAATTGCTATGATAAATTCTGGGCTCGTTTTGGGGGATAACAATCACTAAGATATATTAATAATTTCTGCCCATAAATTTTTTAGTTTTACACATTACATACTTCTATTTCTTATATACTCTGCAATTATGCCACCCAACCAGCTCATGCTAATATGTTTAAATTTACTTTTCTAAATTATGTTGACAAATTTTTTTATTTCAATAAAATCCAGAACATTACAAAGATAATACTCATTTAACTTAGTAATTTAAAAGTAGGCTGAATTGGCATTTATCCAGTTTGAAGGCTAAAAATACCTACTGAGAGATTTCATGCAACATTTAGCAATACAACCCATTTTCTCCTTTTTCAGACTTGCTACTGAATTTAAATGTAACCTTTTGTTTAGGTATCCTTTTGCTCTCAGAAAAGTTATGTTGGTTCTCACACCTACTAATTTTACAAGACAAAACATCAGAGTTTTGAGAGAAATATCCTACAGTTTAGTAATGCATGGAATCCTGGTGTGGCACTGCAGGATAAGCACTGGACCACAATGTCGGTTTGAACCACAAGACCAGCTGTTCCTCAGAAACCCTATACAGGGTTGCTATGAGTAGAAACAGACTTGATGGCACTTAACAACAGTGATGTATATTTGTAAACTTGGATTTTTCATAAATTTGGTTGTTTTTTTTTTTTTTCAGAAATAGCCATACTAAATAAAAGTTTGACAGTGTCTCAGAGAACTAAGGTATGCCTTGAAGAGGAAATGAAAAATCTGAAATTGTTGTCAGATGCTGCCATTTTGAGATCTCAGCAGATCCAGAAGTCAAATGAACAGGAAGTAAACCTACAAACCAGATGCTATGATTTACAAAAAGAAGTACTCGGTAAAAGAAAATTACTTTTTACTCTTGTTAGCAAGTAGCTATTATAAGGGAAGGAAATATCAATAATTTTATTTGTCTTACTATCTTAAATCCGGGTATTTTATGTTTCAACTTTGCCTGTTTATTATGAGTAAGGCAATAATTGTCTGTGATCAATGTTTGCTATCATTAGTTTCTATTTTTACCATTTAGAGGATTAAGATTTAAGTGGAGTATATAAGAATAAGTCAAAAAGTACAGCTATTAGGGCTTCATTTCGTACATGTACAGGTTTATTGCAATCAAAACATTTGTACACATGTCTACAGTCAGTGAATGACTATAGACAAGTTTCCCCAGTAACACACTTTTCTTAGTCTCATTACAGTATCTTCAAAGAAAAGGTCCAATAAAAAAAAATGGCTTCTGAGGGAATCTTCTGGACCAATTAAATTCAAGGCAGAGAGATCAGCTCAGATGGTTCTGGGGACTGCTTTTTGGAATTACAAAGAAGTTAATCTTGTTAATTTTCTCTAAAAACATAGGACATTAATAGAAGCTTATGAGGACCAATTAGGCATTAGTGAGTTGATGTGGACTGGTATTGGCCAATTTGAATCTGACAACCACATGATTTTTACTATGCTGGGAATGACAAATTGAAGAGGAATGGTGTTTCAGTCATGAGGTAAAAAGCTGTCTGTGATAGGATAATATCCATGTGCCTATAGCTCTGGTAGTATAGTGGTTACGAATCGGGCTGCGAACCTTATGGTCAGCGGTTCCAAAATACCAGCTGCTCCGCGGGAGAAAGATGAGGCTTTCTACTCCCGTAAAGATTTACACCCTCGGAAACCCTGTACAGGGTCGCTATGGGTCGGAA